GATCATTCTACTTGATCTTGTGGATTCCATTTGACGCAACTAGCCTGGTATGACCCCCCAGTGCAGTTGGGCCAGAGTCGCACTCCTCTTCGCAATGGCCGTCGCGGGGCCGAGAGAGTCATGTCCATCGCTCACCGCTGGGCTTGATGTTTTGAGAAGGTTACCGGAGTTTGGATGGTCAGTCCTAGTTGTTTTTTGCTTGGCATTCCAATCACCACATCCTGCACAGTATCTATGAAATATCTATTTCATTATATTTCATTCATTCCTTGATTGATGTGATTATTGTACATTATTATTTCAATCTGGTACGGATAGTGATATGAGCCACATGGCTATTCAAGAAGCAACAGGAAGCTGGCACTGCCTCAATCTAATCATGTTCAGGTTTTCAACGAGTTGTTCTTGCAATGGATTTTCCAAGTTTCATTGCCCAATTTTGGTGTTTTCCTCCTGGGTCCCTGCAGTTGAGCAATGGTGTGGCATCGTTGCTGGTGGTGTGCCAATGGGCACCTGCCTTGTTCGGACTTCCTCAATCATGGCTGGTCAGCTATTCTGGCATGAGAATGCTTTGAATAACGCCATATTAAACGGCATGTTTACTTTTTTGGGGGGGGGCAGGCACGCCCACTTGTTTTACTATAAGGTTTGGTTTCCTTCGGAGCATTTTTCGGGGTTTGGTTGACTCTGGTTGAGGTCCGCAGGTCTCACCGCAGTTTCCAGTCGTCGGGCCCCACTCTTTTTGTTACGTCTAAAGGCTATTGGTCGCCAAAATGGACGACCAAGTGGCAAGACGACTGCAACATGCAAAAAGATTGCTGGAGCTGTGAGGGTGATGTTATGGTGATATATGGTGATATAAAGGGGATTTAGATATAGACTAGGGAAAATGACGATCTAAAACGGACTTCGATGGATTTGATGGATTTCGATGGATTTTTCATGATTTTTCAGTTGGTGAATTATTATGATTTATATTTATATATCTAGTGTTTTAGGAACAACGGTTTGTTCTCAGTGCTTCAGATGTATCATGAGACTATGCCTGGATTCCATGCAACATACCCATGTGGCAGCATCGATTTTTGTAGCTTTTGAATGGCAAGATGACACCACTTCCCAGTGGAAACTTTGATGTTATAACGACCTCACTGCGACCTTCATGGTTAGTAAGGGGAATCATCCCCAAATAGCCTTATTTCAGGTTAGTGAAATATTATGATTTAATTACCCGGATATGTATATATATATATATGTGTGTGCTTCTATACTGCTATAATTGCATGTTTGATCATAGGGAGCCATGATGAAACTTGCCCTGGCGTGGCAAAGTGATGTGCAGCAGTTCCAATTTGCATGTTAGCTTTGTGTGAGCCCACTCAGGTAGCTGTTTAAGCTGGCAGAATTGCGAGAGCGGAGGTCTCTGTGAGCATTTTGAAGAGATGACTTAAATGGCTTTAAAATCCAATGAGATGAAGCACACGAACTGATAGTGGAATATATAGAATTATGTAGATATATTTATATATCTCTCAAACTATCTCAAACTCAACTATTATATATAATGCCTAAGTATTTGTTGGTGATGTTAGGTGCCATTCCCAAAAAAGCACATTCAGTCCCCGTGACTGGCGCTCCGCAGCGATTTTTGGGGCTCCGAAACTGGCCGACCTCAAGGGTTGGCAGCTCGGGGCAGCGTGCAAGGACAGGGAAGAAAAAACGGCAGCTACCCTCTGGTAAACTAACATAGCTGTGGAAAATCACCATCTTTAATAGGTATATAATGTATATAAATCAACCATCAATAGGCCATAGGCCATTTTCAATAGCTATGTTAGTCATTACCAGAGGGTACATCGCTCTCGAGGGAACCTTTCATCTATCATCTATCACTGGGACTCTGATGGGAAAATGATTTGAGCAGATACCCGATACGGTAATTTGTTACATAGCCATGGAAGCCATGGCTCATTTACTTCGATGAGTTACAGCTATTCAACATGGTGAAAAAAACTGCCGGGATGCAGCTGATATGGCAAATGGGCCCACTACCCTCCGGTAATCCAACATGGCATAGGAAATGCCCAATGAACGTGGAGCTTCTATGGGAAAAGCATCGAACTTATTGGCAGGGTATATGTGAGGGGGTCCTGGCAAACAGAATGCCCGGTGTTGATGATGATATTGATGGGGCACAACAACTGCATGGAATCCCCAAGACGAAGAGAGTATATAAAGATATGTACATGAGCTTGTTTCAAAATTTGAAAAACCATAAACCCAAATTTCCAAAGCTCATGAAAATTCATTGTGCCATCAGTTCCCCTATTATTCAATGATGTTGAGACAAACTCTTACCCTCTGGTAATTTAACATTATGCTATTGAAAATTGCCATAGAAATAGTTGATTTACCCATAAAATGTGATTTTTCATCGTTGTGTTAGTTTTCATGTGGAGCCGAGCCTCCGCCGTCCCTTGGCTTTCAGCCGTTTGCGATGGCGGCAACGCGACGCGTAACGCGACGCGTCGTGCGGCGTAGCGCGCGCGACGCGTGGCGCGGTGCTGGAGGCGATTCTGAGTTGCATGGGGAACCCATGGGGAATCCATGATTATAATTGATAATTCCCGAGAGCATCTGAGCGAAGGGTTCTTCTAAAAGTGGAGGTCTGCTATACATCTTCACATCTGCACATCCTCATCTTCTCATCTTCACATCCTCACATCTTCACACAGCTTCTCTCTCTCTCTCTCTTTCTCTCTCTCTCGCTCTCTCTCTTTTCCTCTTTGTTTCTTTCTTCTTTCTTTCTTTCTTTCTTCTTTCTTTCTTTCTTTCTTTCTCTCTCTCTCTCTCTGGCTCTCTTGCCCTCGCCACGATAGGGCAACCCTTTCGCACGAAATGAGGTTCGAGTGTCAAAAACCGAGGGTTTTTTGTCATTTTACATCCTCGGCGGCAACCTTTTCGCACGAAATAAGGTTCGAGTGTCAAAAGCTGAGGGTTTTTTGCGAGTTTACAGTAGTTTTTTTGCGAGTTTGTTTGGTCCGGCGCCAACCCTTTCGCACCAAACGAGGTTCGAGTGTGAAAAACTGAGTTTTTTTTGAAATTTACATTCTCCGCGGCAACCCTTTCGCACAAAACAAGGTTCGGGTCAAAAACTGAGGGTGTAAAAGTGTTAGTGCGTAAAAGAGTTTGTAAAAGTGTTTGCGTGTAAACGTGTTTGTGTGTAAAAAAAGTGTTTGTGCGTAAAAGAGTCTCTGTGTAAAAGCGTTTGTGTAAAAGTGGCTGTGTGTAAATGCGTTTGTGTGTGGAAGTGTTTGTGTAAAAGTGTCTGTGTTTAAAAGTGTTTGTGTGTGTAAAAGCTTGCTGTGTGTAAAAGCTTCTGTGCGTAAAAACTTTGTGTGCAAAAGCTTCTGTGTGCAAAAGCTTCTGTGTGTAAAAGCACCTTTGTGTAAAAGTGTCTGTGTGTAAAAAGCTTCTGTGTGTAAAAGCTTCTGTGTGTAAAAACTTCTGTGTGTAAAAGCCTTTGTGTGTACAGGCTTCTGTGTGTAAAAGCTTCTGTGTGTAAAAACTTCTGTGTGTGTGTGTGGGTTTGTGTGTGTGTGGGTTTGTGTGTGTGTGTGTGTGTCTGTGTGCGTTTTTTTTTTTTTTGTGTGTGTGTTTCTGTGTGTATATATGTGCAACCATGTTTCTCTGCGTGTGTCTGTGTTTGAGAGCCTATCAGCAAATCTGTATGTTTGTATTTTTTAACATCTTCTATACAGCATACCTTGTCCGTCTCTTGCAACTAAAACCCTGACATCTTCACATCTTCTTATCTTGACATCCACTTATAATGACCATTTTCACATGATCTCAAATAACACTCTCACGAACATATTCATGTAAGTCTTTGGCATCTGCAAACCGTACAACTACATAAAGTATCTGAGTACCTATACACCTACTCGCTCTCGGGCCAACCGTCGTCTAGTTTATAATTGATTTTCGGATAATCACTATAGGGGATAATTGATACTTTGTCATGGAATAGTGAAAGAAATTGATAATTGATTATGGGGGTCTATCACTATCAATGATCACACCATTTGTTTGATTGAGACGTCGGTACGTGATGGGACAAAAGGCAGAACGGAAATCTCAACACCAGAAACCACCCCAAGAGACTTAACTCGATGGTTTGAATTGCCCCCGCTTGGAGGTTCTGGCACTGGGTTTGCCACCTTCTATCATGGTAATATATATTAATATCAATATATAATATGTATGTAAATGGGTTTTTGTGTGGCTGGTCCACTCGCCCGAAAGGCTCTGACATGGCATGGGTCAACTTGAGGTAATTACCTTAACTATAAAGGGTTCCAGGGAATATACCGAAAGTTTTTGGGCATTTTCAAGCATAAACCATCCACTTTTTCCAGATTGATCCTGTTCAGCCGGCGCCCAAACCGTGATTTTCGGTCCGTGATTTTCGGACCATCACGGGATTGATGAATTTATGGAGAAATTCCTGAAGAATAATACTCTTGAAGCCAAATTTAGAGCATTTGACTCTGGGAGATTAATAAGGTGGATGGCTGATCATCGCACTTTATATTTATGTCTTTAAACCGTTTAAACCAACAAAAAACAGTTGAACCCACACAGACATCCACATACATAGGAGATTATTGTAGAAACAATCCGCAAGGCCGCTGCGTGGCAGCAGAACGAGGCCGCCGGGCCGTTCCCGGGTCCGATGGCAATCGATGACAACTTGAAGAGTGACATAGTGATCGGGTGCTTGGGAAACCTAGTGAAATCCAAAGGTTGAACCCAGGTTGAGAAACATCCAAGTTTTTTTTGACAAAATTGAGGTCAGAGATATGAAACCATGTGCATGATGGACATTTCAATCTTCGAGGAACCAATGACATGGCAAGTGGTCTTTGTTCATGGCATGATTCTGCAAACCATTCAGTTCATTCAGAAGCTGCCACCCCATTTCTGCAGGTAATATATAGGCCCAAGGGGCCCTTAGGCCTTAGGCAAAATGATGTTGCCTCCGGCTCGGCCATGCATGCCCATGGGGCAGCTACCTGGTGGAGGGCTGCCCCTCCCTGGGGCCATGCAGATGCCCACACCTCCTGGGATGCCCATGCCATCGCTGGGCATGCCCAACCTGGGGACGACGGTGCCTCCAGGGCCGGGGCCCTGTGGCATGCCCATGCCGCGGCCCATGACCATGGCACCACCATGTGGGGGGACCCTACCAGCACCTCGGCCCATGATGCCTACGATGCCTACCATGGATGCGTCTATGCCAAGACCTCCCATGGGCTCAGTGATCCCACCCCCACAGCCAGGTACCATGCGACCGCAGATGATCCCGGCACCTCAGCAGCCCTTCAACCCCTCCCTGCCGCCGCGGCCACCTGGGCCCAGCTTGCCACAACAGCTGGCACAGCTGCAAGCAGCTGGGCAAGAGGGGCAGAGGCAAGCACCACCTCCTCCAGCGTTTCATGGAGATAAGAAACCACAGCTCTTCATGCTGATTGCGCAGCTGGCTCCTCATGTTCAGGACAGGCATGTCAGAGTCCTGAATGTCCCAAGCAGTTGTCACAGAAATAAACATCCAGCCCGTGATAATTAGGACATGGAATGGCTACATGAAATATTGAAATGATGCCATGCTTGTACATGCAGAGCTTCGGGAATGCACCTCAATGCCCACACGATAGCTGGGTATAGCCGCTTGAACCCTTCTGTGGAACCTTTTTGTCCGCCCTCAAACAATGGCAGTGCCAGCTTTATCCAATTGAAATCAAAGTTTGATCCAACAATTTCATGTTATTTCATATCATCAAAGGCTTTAGATCAGGTTTCCAGAGTTTGGGTAGCTTATAGACTGGTTTGTCTTAAAATAGGGTACCCCAAGATGTGCGTCGCGAATCATCATTTTTCTCATTAAATAGCTTTTTTTTGGCTATCCACCATTTTCAGACATCCCACTGGCCAGAACTGCCAAGCACCTTCTGCAGGAGTCACACATGCAGCAGCTACTGGAACAGTGTGGTGACCTTCAGGCCTGGTTTCATGTGTCAAGCGTGCCAAGGTGAGCAAAGACCTCCCAAAAACTTCCAAAAACCTGTTGAACCTTGAAACAAGGAAGACACGCGGGTTTTGGATGGGTTTGGCATGTTTGGGCAATCGATCCATTCAGATCCCACGTAGGCCTTTCGAAGAGCTCAAGATGCGGAAGGTTGGCCATCCCGTGAGCCGTCCAGCCATGTGGCAACTGAGAGATGTAGCTGTTCAGCCAGGTCAAATTGTGGTAAAATTAGGAGAATGTATAGTGAAATATAGTGAACAAAAGGAAGTCTCGGATTTTTCTTCTGAAATTTGGAGATTTCACAATTCCACGTTTTTTTTTTTGCCTCATTGGATACCATTGGCGTTTAACATCGTTTAACCATGGAGACCAGCGGAGGCAAAGCCATGAGCTTTGGCGTGGCACAGTTTGCTGATCCAGAATCCGCCTGGAAGGCTGTCAGTTGCACCTTGGCACGGCGGCTATTCGGAGTGGGGATTGCTGAAGAGGGTAGATTCGGTCGGAAGTGGGTTGAGTATGGTTGAGTGGGGTTGGGGTGTGTATATCTATTATACTTATTCTGTTATAAATATATATATATATGCGTATGACACACGCACATATATATATACACATATGTATATAGATGTGTACACATTATCAAATATGTTTTTTAAGTTAATGTGTATATATATATATAATATATATATATGTGTGTGTGCGTGTATAGTTATGTTACATCATCAAATAGTGTTATAATATACATAGATAATCTACAGCTCCAGCATGGGCGGCGTTTCAAAAAACCCTGCACTCGAGGCCTGGCGAAACGGAGAATCGGCGGCCAGGAGATCAAGGCGCGTGGCCAATCGGGGCGTAGGATGGTGGGTGCGTTGGATGTTAGGATGTTGATACGGTCGTTTCTATGGAAAATTACCATTTTCAATAGGTAAATCAACTATAAATATAGGTAAATCAACAAGAAATATAGTTAAAACTATATAAACACCATTGAATACCTGATATGTTACTAAGATTTACTAAGGTCCGGAGAAAATCGGCAGTGAGTGATCTTATGTGTGTGTGTGTTGCGTAAGTTACTTATGGAACATCATGGAAAATCACGGCAAATGAACTATAGAGAGATATGTTACCCTCTGGTAAACTAGGAGTTTGCTATGGAAACCGTTTCAAATAGGTAAATCAACTATATCCCATGACGGATCCATGGTGCTGCTATATATGGTGTGCCATGGATCCCATCAATATACCCCACATGTTAGCATATATACCAGCACCATGGATCCGTCATGGGTATATGCATGGTTCATTTTCCATAGCCGTTCGTTTACTCGATATCTTCGGCGCATCTCCGGGAACCATAAATGTGGCTGGAAAATGTTCGAACTGAACGAAGGTGGATAGCTGGGAAAATCAGATATACTATATATATATATGGATGGATATATAGATATATATATATGGATATATATATATAGATATATGGATATATATAGATATATATGGATATATAGATATATATGGATATATATTGTCATTTTTTAAAACATATGAAACATTACCTGTTGAAATCGTGCGCGCGCAGGCGCGCGAGCATTTAACACATGCGCGCGCGAGGTGCGCAAGCACAGACAGGCGCGCGCGCGAGACGCGCGAGCAAAGACAGGCGCGCGAGCACTGCGCGCGCGCTCACTTCGGACACGCGCGCGCGCAAAGAAGCTCTCCAAAAGTGGATTTGGTGAGCTTATTGCGATTTGGAGAGCTTATTTGCGCGCGCGGAGAGCTTATTTGCGCGCGCGCGTCTCGGACGGGCGCGCGCGCGAACACGCGCGCGCATTGGCCTTGCTTGCGCACCTCGCGCGCGCGTGTCTATTTGCTCGCGCGTCTCGCGCGCGCGCCTGTCGTTGCTCGCGCACCTCGCGCGCGCACGTGTTAAATGCTCGCGCGCTCGCGCTGCGCACCCTGCAGCTGGTGAGGCACCATGTATGAATTCATATGTTTTGAATCAAGCCAAGATATATAGATATATACTATATTACTATATATATATGGATATATAGATGGCTGAATGAAAAGGGGTGTTTCCAATTTTTATGGTGATTACTAGAGGGTAAGGACAATGTTTGGACACCTTGACATCAGATGCTAAGGGAGATAAAGTAGAAATATAGGTTGTTTTGGGGTTAGGATGTTGGTATTGATGTTTGGTTGGTTTACCAACCCAACCTTCATTTTCCCCTCTTGAGTACATCCCATTTACCATTTTGGGATATTTTGGGCATCTTGGGCGACGTTTTTCTCAGGTTCTCCTTGAAGAGAACACTGAAGCCTTCATCCTCAAGTGGAAGATGTCGCAGAAAGTCGTCTTTCGGGTCAACACCGTCCCGCGGCGGCAAGCCGGTTGTGAAGCACTGGTAGAGTTGGCAAGTGGGGTGCTGTACATCAGGTGGATGGTATTATATTATATTATATTATATTTTATTTTATTATATTATATTAATTATATTATATATACATAATTACATCCTATTACATCATAACAGGCACACACAGAGAGAGAGATATATATATACATATTAGACAGGGTGCATATGGGATTACAGACTATACTATAGCCTCGGCCAAGATCAGGTGAGCTGCCAAGGGGGCGGTTGAGGATGGATGGAGCAGTGAATTTTGTGTGGAACATGGAATGACATAAATATGAATGAAGAGGTAATTGCTTGGATTTTGGGTGAGTTTTTTTTGGTTCGGGGCACTAAAGGGCAGGCGCCTTTGTTTCCAAATGGTTGCATTAGTCTGGGTATTGCATGGTTCCCTTCACAACTGTGTCACTGCAGTTTTTCGGTTCAGATATCAGGTGCACAGGCGCACCAGCCCGGCATGCGCAGTTGTCTAGGCATATTTTGCATCTTCCTATGCTGTGAAGGTGGCAAAGTTTACAGGCCAGTTTCCAGCGTCAGAGGGCACGAAACAAACATCAAGGAGACCTTGAGGAGCAGAGTTGGACAACAACTGGGGTGTTCTACTCGAATAGGAAACGGTTCAAAAATAAATTTTGGGGAGTGGCACGTTTTAGAGCTTAAAGGTTTGGCTGATGATTGTCATAGTAATTACTTTTTCCTCCGGTTGCAGTGATGATGACCGTTGCATCAAAGGATTTGGGCTCAGTTTTATTCTCAGAACTGAGAGCAGTAAATTACTGTACCACAAAGTATTTGAACTCCTAGGTTTGCTTGAAGATGGAGGGAGGTGACGTGTTTAGCAAGTCTTGAGTCATGACGCTGAGTGGGCTTGGGTTCATGTCAGTATATGATATGCAACTGTAGTAGATACTTGAAGAAGATGCATAGAATTGTTTTTCCGCCAGGCCGCCAGGTGTCCTTTTTTGCATGTTTTGATGTCCAATTTTGTTGGCCGCGAAAGAGCCCTGAAAGGTTTTTCTGATCAGTTCATTATTATGTATGCTTCATCCGATTCTAAACATGGAAGGAACCTTGCGCAGCAGAAGCAAACTCGGTGGATCCTACAAACCTTCAAGCTTGCTCGCCTTGAACAAAACTTGAAACTGAGCCAACGTGATTACACGGTCGGGATCTCACTCTGCGGGAAAGCAAAATTGTGGCAAGATGCTTGTCAACTCATTGAGCAGATGACCGAAACAAGAGTAAGTCCAAACGTGTTCAGCTGCAGTGCCGCCATCAGTGCATGTGAGAAGGGTGGTGAGTGGGAACATGCACTGACCTTGTTCCAGGCAATGCCCAAGGCAAAGATTCCGTCAGATGTCATTAGCTACAGTGCTGCCATCAGTGCATGTGAGAAGGGTGGTCAGTGGGAACATGCACTGACCTTGTTCCAGGCCATGCCCAAGGCAAAGATCAATCCCAATGTCATTAGCTACAGTGCCGCCATCAGTGCATGTGAGAAGGGTGGTCAGTGGGAACATGCACTGACCTTGTTCCAGGCAATGCCCAAGGCAAAGATCAGTCCCAATGTCATTAGCTACAGTGCCGCCATCAGTGCATGTGAGAAGGGTGGTCAGTGGGAACAGGCACTGACCTTGTTCCAGGCAATGCCCAAGGCAAAGATCAGTCCCAAAGTCATTAGCCACAATGCCGCCATCAGTGCATGTGAGAAGGGTGGTCAGTGGGAACATGCACTGACCTTGTTCCAGGCAATGCCCAAGGCAAAGATCAGTCCCAATGTCATTAGCTACAGTGCCGCCATCAGTGCATGTGAGAAGGGTGGTCAGTGGGAACAGGCACTGACCTTGTTCCAGGCAATGCCCAAGGCAAAGATCAGTCCCAATGTCATTAGCTACAGTGCCGCCATCAGTGCATGTGAGAAGGGTGGTCAGTGGGAACAGGCACTGACCTTGTTCCAGGCAATGCCCAAGGCAAAGATCAGTCCCAATGCCATTAGCCACAATGCCGCCATCAGTGCATGTGAGAAGGGTGGTCAGTGGGAACAGGCACTGACCTTGTTCCAGGCAATGCCCATGGCAAAGATTCCGTCAGATGTCATTAGCTACAGTGCTGCCATCAGTGCATGTGAGAAGGGTGGTCAGTGGGAACAGGCACTGACCTTGTTCCAGGCAATGCCCAAGGCAAAGATCAGTCCCAATGTCATTAGCTACAGTGCCGCCATCAGTGCATGTGAGAAGGGTGGTCAGTGGGAACAGGCACTGACCTTGTTCCAGGCAATGCCCAAGGCAAAGATCAGCCCCGTTGTCATTAGCTACTGTGCTGCCATCAGTGCATGTGAGAAGGGTGGTCAGTGGGAACAGGCATTGACCTTGTTCCAGGCGATGCCCAAGGCAAAGATCAGTCCCAATGCCATTAGCTACAGTGCCGCCATCAGTGCATGTGAGAAGGGTGGTCAGTGGGAACAGGCATTGACCCTGTTTGAGTCAATGCGTGGTTCTCACCTGGATCCAGACATTGTTTCCTACAATGCCTTGTTGGATTGTGTGGAAATCTATTCCAGTAACTGTCTTGGTGGCGAGATCTTCCAAAATGGCTTGCTGCCAATCTTGCAAGCAACATCAGTATTTCACTATTTGCAAGTTGACCTTCATGATCTCTCAGAGGGTGCGGCTGGACTTGCACTACAGTGGTGGCTTTCCAAGACTGTAGCCAGGCGCCTGGAAGTTTTCGACAGGTTGGATTGCATCGTGGTAACAGGCTACGGGAAGTCACGGAAAGCTTGGCAAACAAAAGACATCAAAGCAGCTGCCTTGGACCTTCTGTCCAGATTGGGGCTGGACCCGCAAATTCTTCCCAAGAGCCTTTCCTGCAGAAGTAGAAAAGTTGCTAGTTTCGGTTGGTGCTTTCAAGACTTTTCAAGCATGCTCAGCTTCCATCTTGGTTTGGATGATTCATCCCAATTCACTGAATTTGTCGGGATCGCTTGAATGCACCAACCGCTTGTTTTATCCTGGGCATCCACTCATCGTGTGCAGCAATTGGTCGTCCATACGCGCTGGTCGGATGTTAGCGGATGGTGTGCTTCAAGCTGTTCTGGAGTTATCAACCTACATTGGTTTGTCTCAAAACATGGTACCCCCAAATCCACTGCTTAACGTTAAGCATCTTTTCCCCATATTTCCATATATTTCCACTATTAAAATGAACCATTGTTAGCCATAATTCCCCCTATTCAATGACTAATTATAAGGGGGGCTATGCCGGCCTGTTTTCAGACTCCACACGCAGTAGCCAGGAACAAGGGAGCCGTCCGATTGTCTCTGAGCAAGCAAGACTTGGTCAGCCTACAACGTGCTGGCGATATTTTCGACCAAAAAATCTATGCGCGGCTGACCCAAAATGGTAATCAAACATGTCTGGAAAATCCCTGACATGGAGGCATCAGTGGGAAAATCCTGAAATAAGTCATGGAGTACCTAGCTAGCCATATTTGATTACCGGAGGGCATTGAGCTGATCAGAAAAACGTTTGCTAATATTAGGCAAAGTACCCAGAATTACACTCATACTAACTCATACAATGCCGTTTGATGCGGGCCCTGTTTGTATGGACAGGATGATCACTGGAACTCCCGTTGTCACCACCAACGCACCGTGTTTTCTGCGGTTTCCATGCTGATGGGGCCAACATTTCAAACCAGTTGATACTACGACTCCTTTGGGCGAAACAATCCCAAGTTGAAATTGGGGTGGCCATGGGTGTCCGGGAAAAGGGTGCCCAATGCATAAATAATCATACATATACATCAATCCAGATGCACATGCACATGCATCATTGCCGTTGCGAATTCAATAAAAGGCTTATATAAGATGATTCCAGATCATAGTTAAGTGCATGCGGCCGCTGCATGTGGAGTTAACATGAGATAACCAGAGAACAGACAGCAAGAGACAAGGGAAGAAGGCGCAAAGTGGGGCGATGGAATGGAGCACCAGCCTCACTGGCAACCAAAGAAAGCCACGCATGAAGATGTATGGCCATTTTCTTTGGTCTTATACCCTATTTTAATGTGTAGTCTTAGAGTCTTGTTGGGCTAAATCCATTTCCATCCAGTAACATCCCAGTCGTTATTGGTTCGAAAGTTTAGATTGCTGCTTGAATGTATGCGCACACACACATGTATATATGTATACTGTATACGTATATGTACATGTATATGTACATGTATATGAAGGGAGAATTGCTTGGAATTGGGTGATTTTTTTGGGTTCGGGGCACTGAAGGGCAAGCGCCTTTGGTTCCCAATGGTTGCGTTAGTATGGGTATTGCATGGTATTGCCTGGATTCCTTCACATCTGTGTCACTGCAGTTTTTCGGTTCAGATATCAGGTGCACAGGCGCACCAGCCCGGCATGCGCAGTTGTCTAGGCATATTTTGCATCTTCCTATGCTGTGAAGGTGGCAAAGTTTACAGGCCAGTTTCCAGCGTCAGAGGGCACGAAACAAACATCAAGGAAACCTTGAGGAGCAGAGTTGGACAACAGCTGGGGTGTTCTACTCGAATAGGAAACGGTTCAAGAATAAATTTGGGGGAGTGGCAAGTTTTAGAGCTTAAAGGTTTGGCTGATGATTGTCATTTAGTAATTACTTTTTCCTCCGGTTGCAGTGATGATGACCGTTGCATCAAAGGATTTGGGCTCAGTTTTATTCTCAGAACTGAGAGCAGTAAATTACTGTACCACAAAGTACTTGAACTCCTAGGTTTGTTTGAAGATGGAGGGAGGTGACGTGTTTAGCAAGTCTTGAGTCATGACGCTGAGTGGGTTTGGGTTTATGTCAGTATATGCTCGTAGCCAGGTGTTCTTTTTGCATGTCTTGATGTCCAATTTTGTTGGCCGCGAAAGAGCCCTGAAAGGTTTTTCTGATCAGTTCATTATTGTTTATGCTCCATTCTATTCTAAACATGGAAGGAATCTTGCGCAGCAGAAGCAAACTCGGTTGATCCCACAAACCTTCAAGCTTGCTCGCCTTGAACAAAACTTGAAACTGAGCCAACGTGATTACACGGTCGGGATCTCACTCTGCGGGAAAGCAAAATTGTGGCAAGATGCTTGTCAACTCATTGAGCAGATGACCGAAACAAGAGTAAGTCCAAACGTGTTCAGCTTCAGTGCCGCCATCAGTGCATGTGAGAAGGGTGGTCAGTGGGAACATGCACTGACCTTGTTCCAGGCAATGCCCAAGGCAAAGATCAGTCCCAATGTCATTAGCTACAATGCCGCCATCAGTGCATGTGAGAAGGGTGGTCAGTGGGAACAGGCACTGACCTTGTTCCAGGCAATGCCCAAGGCAAAGATCAGCCCCAATGTCATTAGCTACAGTGCCGCCATCAGTGCATGTGAGAAGGGTGGTCAGTGGGAACATGCACTGACCTTGTTCCAGGCAATGCCGAAGGAAAAAATCAGTCCCCATGTCATTAGCTACAATGCCGCCATCAGTGCATGTGAGAAGGGTGGTCAGTGGGAACAGGCACTGACCTTGTTCCAGGCAATGCCGAAGGAAAAAATCATTCCCCATGTCATTAGCTACAATGCTGCTATCAGTGCATGTGAGAAGGGTGGTCAGTGGGAACAGGCACTGACCTTGTTCCAGGCAATGCCCAAGGCAAAAATTCCGTCAGATGTCATTAGCTACAATGCCGCCATCAGTGCATGTGAGAAGGGTGGTCAGTGGGAACAGGCATTGACCTTGTTCCAGGCGATGCCCAAGGCAAAGATTCTGTCAGATGTCATTAGCTACAGTGCCGCCATCAGTGCGTGTGAGAAGGGTGGTCAGTGGGAACAGGCACTGGTGTTGTTCCAGGCATTGCCCAAGGCAAAGATCAGTCCCAATGTCATTAGCTACAGTGCCGCCATCAGTGCATGTGAGAAGGGTGGTCAGTGGGAACAGGCACTGACCTTGTTCCAGGCAATGCCCAAAGCAAAGATTCTGTCAGATGCCATTAGCTACAGTGCCGCCATCAGTGCATGTGAGAAGGGTGGTCAGTGGGAACAAGCACTGACCTTGTTCCAGGCAATGCCCAGAGCAAAGATCAGTCCCAATGTCATTAGCTACAATGCTGCCATCAGTGCATGTGAGAAGGGTGGTCAGTGGGAACAGGCACTGACCTTGTTCCAGGCAATGCCCAAGGCAAAGATCAGTCCCAATGTTGTTAGCTACAATGCCGGCATCAGTGCATGTGAGAAGGGCGGTCAGTGGGAACAGGCATTGACCCTATTTGAGTCAATGCGTGGTTCTCACCTGGATCCAGACATTGTTTCCTACAATGCCTTGTTGGATTGTGTGGAAATCTATTCCAGTAACTGTCTTGGTGGCGAGATCTTCCAAAATGGCTTGCTTCCAATCTTGCAAGCAACATCAGTATTTCACTATTTGCAAGTTGACCTTCATGATCTCTCAGAGGGTGCGGCTGGACTTGCACTACAGTGGTGGCTTTCCAAGACTGTAGCCAGGCGCCTGGAAGTTTTCGACAGGTTGGATTGCATCGTGGTAACAGGCTACGGGAAGTCGCGGAAAGCTTGGGACACAACAGACATCAAAGCAGCTGCCTTGGACCTTCTGTCCAGATTGGGGCTGGACCCGCAAATTCTTCCCAAGAACCTTTCCTGCAGAAGTAGAAAAGTTGCTAGTTTCGGTTGGTGCTCCAAGACTTTTCAAGCATGCTCAGCTTCCATCTTGGTTTGGATGATTCATCCCAATTCACTGAATTTGTCGGGATCGCTTGAATGCACCAACCGCTTGTTTTATCCTGGGCATCCACTCATCGTGTGCAGCAATTGGTCGTCCATACGCGCTGGTCGGATGTTAGCGGATAGTGTGCTTCAAGCTGTTCTGGAGTTATCAACCTACATTGGTTTGTCTCAAAACATGGTACCCCTAAATCCACTGCTTAACGTTAAGCATCTTTTCCCCATATTTCCATTTTTTCCACTGTAAAATGAACCATTGTTAGATTTGTTAGCCATTTCCCCTATTCAATGACTAATTACAAGGGGGGCTATGCCGGCCTGTTTTCAGACTCCACATGCAGTAGCCAGGAACAAGGGAGCCGTCCGATTGTCTCTGAGCAAGCAAGACTTGGTCAGCCTACAACGTGCTGGCGATATTTTCGACCAAAAAATCTATGCGCGGCTGACCCAAAATGGTAATCAAACATGGCTGGAAAATCCCTGACATGGAGGCATCAGTGGGAAAATCCTGAAATAAGTCATGGAGTACCTAGCTAGCCATATTTGATTACCGGAAGGCAATTGGGCTGATCAGAAAAACGTTTGCTAATATTGGGCAAAGTACCCAGAATTACACTCATACTAACTCATACAATGCAGTTTGATGCGGGCCCTGTTTGTATGGACAGGATGATCACTGGAACTCCCGTTGTCACCACCAACGCACCGTGTTTTCTGCGGTTTCCATGCTGATGGGGCCAACATTTCAAACCAGTTGATACTACGACTCCTTTGGGCGAAACAATCCCAAGTTGAAATTGGGGTGGCCATGGGTGTCCGGGAAAAGGGTGCCCAATGCATAAATAATCATACATATACATCCAGATGCACATGCACATGCATCATTGCAGTTGCGAATTCAATAAAAGGCTTATATAGATGATTCCAGATCATAGTTAAGTGCATGCGGCCACTGCATGTGGAGATAATATGAGATAACCAGAGAACAGACAGCAAGAGACAAGGGAAGAAGGCGCAAAGTGGGGCGATGGAATGGAGCACCAGCCTCACTGGCAACCAAAGAAAGCCACGCATGAAGACGTATGGCCATTTTCTTTCCATCCAGTAACATCCCAGCCGTTATTGGTTCGAAAGCTATTATTTTTTTTTGTTTGAATGTATGAAACACACACACACACATGCACAAACACACACACACGCACACACATATAATTATATATATATATTTATAAATAGATATAAACTAAACAAGCAATCCAGATAAACGATTTCATTGAATTCACATGAGAATCTACATAAATCATGTCACACATCCATGGGGCTGAGGACGAAGATTTGGAGTGGGAATTGGAGCGAAAGACGGTGAGTTGCAATGCCTTGTTGGATGGAAAGCTGGAAGAGCTGCCCCTTGGGCGATTTTGGGGAGGGCGAGGGATGGTACTATCCATTGGTTACAAGAAGCTACATGAACAGTTGGAGCCTGAAAAAAACACATTTTTAGTGGAAACTAATCTTCCAAGTCCTATTTGCCAGGGTCGAACTGTTAATTACTGGAGGGTAAGAGTTTCTGAAGCACATGCGAATATATCCAACCTTTTCACCAAAAAAGATGAGCCATGGGGATTGAATGGGGAGCTACGAACTCAGTTTCCCAACCACATGATAGCGAGGTATTTTTTCCGAATGGGCATGGGATTTGCAGTCGCAAGGCTTAGCCATGGGGCTGGATAGAAACTATGGCAATTTCAAGCGACCTCAAATGATATCGTTATTTGGGGGAAAACCGTATGAAACATCACACATAAACTCATGATCTGACAAGAATTTGTCACAAATTCTTGAAAACTCAGATGCCCACCATTTTACACCATTTGTTTTCCCGGGAGTCCACATGTTTTTCCATTTTTCCCGGGAGCCCTCGGCCCATCTCAACCCAAGGTTCGGCGTCGAAGGCACAGGTGCAGCCAAGCAAAGGCGACAGGAGTTGAGGGAGCGAGAGGAGAAACGTGGCTTGGCCCAGGGGGCCCAGGGGGCCCAGGGGGCCCAGGGGGCCCAGGGGGCCCAGGGGGCCCAGGGCTTGTTCCCGAACTGGTCACCTGGTGATGTCCTCTGGTGATGTCAGGATTTTCACATAGCTATGGACGATCACCATTTGTAGGTTAGAACTAAAGAGGTTTGTCTTTAAGAATATGTTGAAGACTCACTAATGGCCCAGCTATAGATGATTTATGATTTAGCTGTGAAACCTTGTGATTTTCCATAGCTATGTTAGATAATCAGAGGGTATAGGTACTTTAGGGCAATCTCGTAGCAGATGGCTCATGTTTTGTGGAAACTGAATCGGGAAGGTATGGTCACAGTGGATGCGCCTAAATCACAGATCTCCTCGGATGGGCATCCCAAAGTTTCTGGTGTCATTTGATGGTCTATTGGGTAAAACTTTCTATGGGAAACTCAGCTATGAAACATATGAAACTGAGGGATTTCCCCCTTCCACGTTTCATTCCCGAAGGGTATCATGGGGTATCACATGGTATCACCCAGTAATCACCCGGTAATCATTTTGCTGCCCTCTATAGAGCACCTTGGCACCCAGCTACCAACCCAGGGGTGGAACGTGCGAAGAAGCGAAAAGCCTGGAGGGAAAGCGAGTTTGCGGCAGAGTTAGACAGAACCTTGGCCGGTCCGGGCGTTGAATGTTGACTCCCATGGTTGGGGTGATAGAGATGAAGAAGCGCTATAATTATACATAAAACTCACATCTGATTGTTTGGGCTTCATTTTTAGCAGACGTAGTTGGAACTCCCATGAGGCATTTGATTTGGAAGACTTCCGGCCCACCAAACCCTGGAAATGGATGGAAAGGGCGTTTGATCTTCGGGAAGGATGGGGCTTTTTGATATGGGGTTCTCATCGGGATCGAAATCTCTTGGGAACTTTGGGATGAAAGTCTGTCAGACAGAACCATTTCCATTTCTTGACCCCTTAAGGGCACAGATGGCCACTTCATCACCATGGTACATCTCATGGATCAAATTCCAGATAATTCCAGGGCCAGATTCCTGACTTCTGATGATCTTCATGCAGCATTGTTTGGCTGGTTCTTAAATCAAACATGTTTGTTTTTCGCATCGGCATGGGAAATCACCAATCCCAGAAATGATTGAAGGGAAACTTTACAAGTTTCACCTCTACACTTTGGGTAAAACACCGTTTCGTGTAATATGTTCCCTTGAAACCCAATCCATTGATGGGGTTACTGTGAATTTTGCTGTGCCATCTTGGAATATGTTGATTCATCCCCCGATATTCCCACTATTTGTTGCCCATTTGGTATGATTACCAATATTCCTGCTTTTCCTGAAGGATGCACTAGGATTTGGATGCGCGGCACACCCACCAACCCTTGGTATAGCTTGGCCCAGGCTAGTTTAATTCATTATATCTTCGGCGTTTCAGAGTTTATTACAGCGTTTATTATATCCTAACCAGGTATGGCCATTCTGATCCATTGGGGCCATGGAAGCTGGATTCGGAGAAATTCTGATCAAAATGTAGTTCCCCCAAAAAAATCAGGCAAATGAATATCCTGAACGAATTCTCAGGATACCCTCTGGTAAACTAACATAACTATGGAAAATCACAATTTTTAATGGGAAAAACCACTATAAATGGCCATTTTCAATAGCTATGTTAATTTACCAGAGGGTAATTCTGATGAAAAATTGCCAGGACTGGAGGCCTCAGAGATGGCGTTGCGAGAAGCGGAGAAGCTGCGGGATGCAGAGGACCGGGAGAAGGAGGACTTCGAGCTGCAACCGGGCGGAATTTTGGATGTCTTGGAGCTGGTTTTCTTAGGAGATCATCGAAGTTAACTCAACGAAATGATGGATTTTCTATGGATTTTCCGTGGTTTTTGATGGGTTTTTGGTTGGGCTTCTGAATTTGGGACATTTTTGTATAGTTGAATATATCGGTTCATTTTAAAAATGCAATCAGATTTGTTGTGTCATGAGGGAAGAACCAATTATAATGGGATAGTTATGGGATGATATGGGGTAGTTAGACGTGTTGTATTGTGTTGTGCCATCCATTATATCCATTACCCTGGGGCAAACCAATCAACATAGATATGAAAAACTGTTGATTTCGTTTCCGATGATTTTGCCATACCTATGTTGGGATTCGACCGGCCCCAGGAACATATAGTTACTAGTACTGTACCACTGTTATTTTATTTTTGACTTCATGAGATCATAACTAGTGAGATGATTACTGAGGACAGGCAGTCCAGCCTTGTGGCTCTTGAAGAGTTGGAAAGATTCAGATTTCATGAAGCCATGCAACTGTCCTCCCATCGCACTGCATGTATTTGCGAGCCGCTGCTAAGGTCAGAAAAGCAGCGGAAAGAGATGAAACTAGAGAAATTGGAGGTGCCAAGTGCAAGGGCCAGTTTTTTTTTAGTTTCCACGGTCTTAACAGAAGCTCTGTTGGAGATGCTTGGCTTCTTGAAGTAGTGGCAATAGAAATGGTACGCCATAGAGCGTATCATCCTGGAAATCAAAGAAATATAGATCTTATACGTGTTTGTTATGGTAAAGCGTCACATCGACCAACCAGTATGTGCAGCTTCAATCGCCATTTTCAAAAGTTGTGGCTACTGCAAAAACCAGGAAGTTGCCTCAACACATGACCAATGGCAGGCGCATCATGGCATTGTGCGCAGTGTCCATGTGGCGCAACTGGCAGATAACCAAGCCCTGATGGATTTGGTGCACAAGGCCTGGAGCACCTGAAGATGCAAAAGATTAAAACCCCATAAAAACTCCACAGGATCTTGGGTTCCAATATAATGATGGCCATTAAAGTTGGGATATTCAAAAGATGAAACTGCAGGTCGTCATTTTTTGACGACCTGAGGGACCACTGTTGAAAACCAGACCGGTGCCGCTGGAGGTTCAGGAAGAGCCAAGGGAAGTTCCTCGGTCAAAAAAATGGGAGGCTTTGCCCATTCATCTGAAAAGGTCAGCCCATCCATTCCACTAGGGGGTCTAGGGGCGTATTGAATATTTGAGAGAAGAGGACTATTAGGACTATTAGATATTCACACCCGCTTTACGCAAAACTGAGGGGATTCAGCTAACTTTGGAGGGGACAGTTGGAACTCCCATGAGGGGGGAAGGGATGATCTTCAAACAAAGCTACCAGTTATAAGTGGGTTTATAACCCACATTATAGCTAGTTCCATAAATACCCGAATCAATCCCAATAAATGGGGAAGTTATAGCCATAAATGTCGATAACTATATATTTGCCATAAATCATCATAAATCCCAACCGTAACATATTAAACCCACTTGGCCATCCCCGGGCCTCAAGGAGCTCTTCACCATCAAGCTGGACACGGCCTACCTCCGCAACGAGCGAATCCTGGAGCGGAAGCTGCGGCCCTGGCTGGAACGAAAGGTGGCACCTTGGATCGCAGGACATAGGTGAAACCTATGTGAAACTTATGTGAAGCCTGTGCGAAACCGAGTTTTGCTGAATATGTGGAACATCACGACACATCCACCCGTTGTTGATTTGTTATCCACAGTCTGTTTGTTGAAGTGTAGTAAATGATGGTGATTTTGCGAGCATTTCCGCTGTCGGCTTAGATTTCCGGAGGGTTATCATAGAAGGGAAGTCACTAATATTCAGTAACTGTTGGTTATTCCGCTGTTGCTGGGTTACTGTAATTAGTCATGTTGTGGAGAGTTTTTAAGCTGTTTACTCACATTAACATTATTGACAGCTTTAAATTTTACAGGAAGGCCCCGTTCAGTTACAATTTGGTTCATCGCCCCACCCAACTATAGATGTATCCACCACGAATCCAAAAATTAGCCTAGTGAAGCTATGTATATATATATATATATACAGTATATATATATATACAGTATATATATATAAATCATTATATATATATATATATATCTATATCAGAAATCGGGTGTACACAATTCTTTCATGCTTAATCCTCATTTTTGCTAGTGAAATTCCCTTAAATCACCTTTTCCTTACTCAACCACCCTAATCTTTAGATCTTTCGAGCCAGCAAATCCACATTTTCACCATGATCTTCTCCAAGCTTCCACCTGGGTCTCCCCCTGTCGTTGGGAGCCGAGGACCTGCACATGGGGGGCCAGAGCTCGGACCTCGTCGAGCTGATCCTCCGCCGCGTGAACGGCGCGGCGCAGCCAGATCCTCTGATTGCGGAGCTGGAGAGGCGACAGCGTCAGGGGTGGGATGCTGGGGCCCCCCAAAAGGTGCTACTTTAGGTGTCTGGGTCTGAAAATGGTGGGGATATGTTGGGCCCATTGGGCCTCCAAAAGTATGGGAACATGATGGGAAAATGAGGGAAACTCTGAAAATGGTGGATGGTAAGCCCCGTAAACATGATGGCGTTTGTTTTTAAACCTTGTCAAAAACAGTCAAAACAACGGATTTAAGTGACTTAGCCAATGAAGGACGTATTTGGATGTGTCTGAACATGGTGGATTTAGGCCCAGGAAACAATGGTGGAAATGAGGTTCTAAATCTATATAGTATAATATGATATATCCCAGAACTTCAAAGGACACCAAAAACTCACCCAGTCACAACGGCTAGGTTTAACCTAGCCTTTGTGAAGCTGGGCAATCTTGATGAAATTACAACTTATTTTATATGATAAATGTGAAAAGGCCGTGAAAAGTCAGTGAAAAGGCCATAAAAAGCCCGTGAAAATATGGTTCTTGATGTTTTCCATAATTTCCTGTAATTTGAGTAAATTGTAGCCTTTTAGTCAAACCTGTCCTTTGTAACAATAACGGACTTAGTAAACCTATCCTTTGGAAGCATTGGGTATTATCATATAATTATTTACTATAACATAACACAACATAACATAACATAACATCATATAATATAATGTAACATAACATCATATAATATAATGTAATAATATAATGTAATATAATATGTACCATTGGATTTGGGGTGGGCAGACCCAAATCGTAGCTCCAACTGCTCCCCATGGATCAATCCACATTCCAACAACTTACAGCTTGGGCAAATCCAAAACCCGACGGTTATGAGGGTGGAGCCCAGATATGAGCTGGTTTGTAAAACCATCTTGATGATTCTTAATGTAGAAATTTCATAGTATTTTGACCTGTTTAACCCCAGTTACTCACAAACCTTTAATCCCTCTTTCGGTTGTTGCACTTTGCTCATCAACCCCATCAACTCCGTCGCGCGGAGCAGTTGCCTTATCCACCGTTTACCAAAAAAAGTACCAGACATTGTTGGTTTACCACCATGTTCATCCATTTTCCATTTTTTGACTATCGCATTAAATTCCCATGGTCAAGTAGTATCTTCTATCATGATTATCCATGACTTCAAGTATTTACTGGGCAGCGTGCAAACTGCTGCTGAGCTGCTGCCAGACTGCTTCTAGATTCCTGCTAGAGACTTGCCTCCGGGCTGGTGGTAAACTGCTGCTAAAGCTGAGGGGTTTCCAAAGCTATTTTCTGGCCTCATTTTGGCCTCGTTTTTGGCCTCGTTCGGAACCTGTGATCTAAGACCCACCTGGGGGCTCAGTTCAAATGTACTGGGTTGGTTGAGGCAGAACCACCTGGGGAATTTGATGCTTTGTTTGAAGAAGAGCACAGTTTGGCCACAGAAAGTGGTTGCAGAAATATTGAGTTGAGATGTAAATCAGAACCCCATAGATTTGTTACCAAAACATACATGAATCATGCGTTCTTAGTGTGTTTTGAACCAAAAGATGACATTTCTAGATACTTTGAACAATTGAATTATATATATATATAGATGCGTTTTGTAACAACAATTTTTTTTTACCCAAACATACATGAAACATGCGTCTGCATGGTGTTTTGATATCGACAAATATCGTTTTGTTAATAATTTTCCATTGTTTTCAACCATTGGGGTGACTTGCGTTCGCATGGTATTTTGGACATTTGGGATGATCGTTTTTTTGTGTTTTTTTAATTTTTGTGCTGCGTTCGCAAAGGGCGAAGAAGTTGGGGTGGCTTTTCTTAGCAGTTGGGGGGCGTAGTTCCATGCGGAAATGACAGTTGACTGCAACGTTGGGGGACCTACGTTGGCATATGCTGGCATTTATGAATTATGACCTAGAATCGGCTATGATTAATTATCCATCATTAGCTATATTGACTATGGCCTTTGCCACCAGATATCTTCGGTTTCATCAACCCAGTTTGTTGAATTCCAAGAGATGACTATTACTTGTTATCTATATAAACTATATATATATGTATATATCCATATCCATCATTACCATCATTAGCTATATCAACTATTACTTATTGATTATAAACTGACGAAATGATCTCCGCTATGTAACCCCCTGGAGGTTTTTGGATGACTTCGCCGAGCCACTCGTGGAACGACTTTGGCGGATGCTGGTGACTCGTCAACGGAGCTGGGGCCGTGGTGAAATTCATGGAGGGCCAGGTGGATTTCCACTGGAAAGTTTGGTTTTACTTGGTTTTACAATCTAAATCGTTCTAAATCTGGTGGAAAGGGCGCGGAAAAAAACCATTCAACCTATTTTTTGGAAGGTTCGGTGAGGAATGTGTCGAAGGTGTAAGGGATTGAATCCGGGGATATCGTCCGTAAAGTTGGGAAAACAACGACCATGAACACCCTCTGAAAAGCATTGCAATGGGTTCCGGAAACAACCAGTGACACTAGGTCATATGGTATTCATGCCTATGTTCCATGATTTTTACTGAGTCAATTCCCTGTTGTAAAATGATATAAAATTTTCTGGGGGTTCCCAATATTGATGGGCCAACTTCAATTGGACCCCCACAAAAAAACAGGATGATCATGATTTATCCATAGTTCAATCTTCATGTTCACCACCCAAAAAAAACTCGAAAAACCCAAGGAACATCGATTTTCCATGGGTTTTCCGTGGTTTTTCCATGGTTTTGTCCTTTTCAAAAGAACTCAGACCTTGGAGATGATCCAAAACGGCTTGGTGTTGCCCACCGTGGCCAAGCGCCAGAAGAAGGATCTTGGGGGGTCGCAAAAACCGCTGCGCCTGGTGATGCCATGGTTTATTCAAATGGTCTATATGTTATATATATAACATATAGACTATAGATATAGAGAATTATAGATGGAAATGTAAATAAATAAATATATATATATATATGTGTTGACGATTTAATGTGACTGATTATTTATGATTTTGTCTAAAGTCATAGCCATGATCTCATGATTTATCAATAAAACGATGGTCGATGGTGAAACAAATGCAGTTCGACGAGAAGACCGCGACCGCGTCAGGAAGAGATCAAAGATGAGAAGCTGTGAAGCAGCTGAGAGGTCAAAGCTCTCCATGGAAACAGCCAGGGAATCATATGGAAACAGCCGTTCAAAGCAACCACGGTAGGGAAGTAACATGAAGTAACCATTCAAGAACTTGGGTGGATACGATCATGTGTAAATCTGCATCTATGAATGCAAATAATGAGTATGGCAAAGATGCAAGCTGGCACAGGATATGTTCTTCCTTGGCCGAACCATTTTTTTCAACAAGAAATATATATGAGCAGCTTGTTTTCCACATGAACAGTGCAACATGGACAGCAAGTGCTTGTCACAATACCAGCCGCTCGCGCTTCTGAAGCTGCCGCTAATATTCGACCAGAAAAAGAGAGCAGCTGTCATGGAATTGGAAGGAAAAACTTACAGGAGCCCCCTATAATCAGGCAGGTCACGGTTACCTGGTTTACTGTACTTTTTCCCTTGGATTAATTCATCGTATCCATGTCAAAGCCTTGGAGAATCCAACACAAAATGTTCCCCAAAACAGCCTGAGGAAGGGGAACAGCATGTCACGCCTACTTGCTGCTATAGTTACAGTAGGTATCCTGGAAGTGAGAACCACTCTTCCTCAGATTGGTCAAGAGTCAACTGTCGATTCTCGCCTCTTGAGGCGTGTGAGACGACATGTCAGAGGTGTGCAAATCTTGAAGCCGGAGGGTGATTCATATTGTCACATTAATGTCAAACATATCAAACACTGTAGAATTGGATAATATTATTGGATCTAATTATTCATTTTGTGGCCCCTTACGATGGGATTGAGGGTTTTACATTTTAGGGGCATGGGATAAAAGGATTGCAGAAACTTGAGCGTTGAACTTTCCACACATCGTTTTGCCCGCGGCGCTCATTCATCTTGGAACTAGGTAGATCAAAGGGGTGAAAGTTGAGTCCAGGATCATTCCAGCAATGCAATGCCCCCAAAAATGTGCACGTTGTTCTATAACTCGGATTCATGGTGAATACATCTACACTTTGAGGCCTTTGAATAAGCTTGAAAGCCAAATGACAAAATTTAGCCAATATACCAGTACTGTAGGGGGGTTTATTGGTAAACCATGGGTGGGCCAGGCTGTCGTCGGCCCCTATCTGGCTCAGGCTGGTGGCTAAGAAGGAGGGTATATAGTATATTGTATAAGTCATCCTGGAGTGGATAGAACATCGAAGCTTCTAAAGAAACATCACCAAAATGTGAATATATTTGACTATCCCATATTCTTTCTATTTCAGGCTGATTTTAAATGTATATGCAAGAAAATAGCCATAAAAACGATTTGAACTTGAACGTTTGTTGACCAATAGTTTAAAGTATTTTAGGATTTTGCTTTTCCATCTTCTTGTGGGTGGCTATACGTATATACACCCCTTGGACTCTCCCCGTTTTCACCAGGTGGTTCCACAAAGGAGCCGACTATATTTTATGGTGAATGCTATCTCTATCCTGCAAGGTTTCTCTGAAATAAATCCATTTATCATTGATATTTGGGTATGTCTGAAAATATGGCGCCAGAAAATTCACTGGTGGATCATAATTTTCCCGATTACAACGTCAATTCTAGGTGTACCATGGTAAATGCCACACTTTCACAGACGTCCCTGTTTTTGATGGTAAAATCTCCATTTTGATTGACTACTTAAGGGTGAATTACCATTTTAATATATATATATATAATAATAGTATATAGTTATACATGTATATCCCATTGTCGCATGTTATTGCTAGTTTTATACCCCCGCTGTTGTTGGTGTTGCATATACAAATAAACAATAAATAAATATTATATACATTATATACGTATATGTTCTTTTATACATATAAATATGCATATACACATAGATACATATACATGCATATACATATACATGCGTGTGCATATACATATGCATAGACATATGCATAGACATATTAGACATCATCTGCATATGCATACACATAGATACATATACATGCATATACATGTGCATATTCATATGCGTATACATATACAGATATATGATTATATGTATGTGACCTCATATCCCTTCAACACACACACAATATATATCAATACATATATATATATATGTTTTTTTTTTGGGTTAGTTTTTTGCATCCATTTGTACCCATTTACAGCCTATCTTCCCTCGGCCCCGGCGAAAGCCATCGAAAGTCACCTTCAGGTGGGCCTAACGCCGCCGCTGCTTCCCAAGCTGGAAGGCTCCAGGTACACAGCGTTCGGAGTCCCAGATGGGGCAGATGGGGTTTTTAAAGGTGTTGACACCTGCGTTTCTCTACAAAAATGGTGGATTTCATAGGGTTTCATATAGGGGTCTACTGGGATATATACGTATATATATATATAATTATATATATATATATACATATATATATAATGGTGATTTAAGCATAAAAACCATCACAGTTTGTCATCAACTCTGATAAACTCTTGATGAATTATGACATAAATGATTGTTTTTCACATGCTGGCTACCAAAAAATCACCGTTTTATCGTCAGGTAGACGGTGGGAGACGTATTCGTAGCATGAGACTGGAATTCATGTGCTGTTAATTTGAAAGCCTAGACCTAGACTTTGTCCTGGCAGTAAGAGCCCATGTGTCTGAAAATGGGGGTATACCCATGAAATGGCAATTTGATGTGGAACATGATCATTTAACATATTATCATATGGGTCTATTATGGGTTTATTATGGGTTTATCATGTTTTCAGACAGCAACCATATCATATGTGTTGCTTCCCGCTTTTCTTGATCCCTTATGATGGATGATGTGATTGGGTCGAGTCTTGAAAGTCTTGGGTCGCCAAGGGCCGAGAGTGTAAGATGGGCACAAATGGAACCAGGTTCAGATGGAGAAAAAAACACATTGAACAAAGATGGAACATTTATTAATATACTTTCATATCCATTATTACATACTTCACTTAATACATATATTTTTATGCTATACTATGCTTGTAATAAGTGGATACTATTATGAACCACCCAGATTTTTCGCCACATGGCAGATGGAACAAGCGCTCGCTTCAACAGAGCGTCTCAGGTTGGGAGAGGCCCTGACGCCGCAGACTGGCTGGGCTCCTGAGGAGATCTGAGACATGATCTTTGGTGATAAAAAAATGATACCCTCTGGTAATGACTAACATAGCTATTGAAAATGGCCATTTATAGTGGATTTTCCCACTAAAGATGGTGATTTTCCATTTCATCATATAAATTATCAATTGGTACTAAAAATGGTACTAAAAATACTGGGCTGCAATGTCATCATATTTTATCAATTCGATCCCCAATTTTGAGACTTTAGCTGGCTACATCATGCTACGTCCAACTCTTTGAGTGGTTCTTTCTGCAGACTGGTGAACTCCACTTACCCTCGGGTAAATTAACAGGTGGACCCTTAAAATTTTTAAATCACCCATTTGGATGGAAACGAATCTTCCAATCCCTGGCAGGATCGAACTGTTCATTTACTTGAGGGTAAAGGTACCCCATATCCTACCAGCCTGGCAGAGGCCCCCATCGCCAGCTCATCGCCCAGGTATCGCCACGTCGTCGCCTTCGACCACCTCGTCCCTCAGGGATGCGCGTCTCGTAGAGCCGGCCTGGAGTTGAGGATTTCTCCGGCCGGACCTGGTGAACCTGGTGGACCTGCGTCAAATCTCGCAGGAGATATCCAAAGTTTCAAAGAACACATGGTACAGCTGAAGGGGGTCAGGAGATCATGGTTGCTGCCCTTTACATGCAGAAAACATGCAGTCTTTGGGCTTTGGGTTTACCTCGAAACAGGGAAATCTCAAATTATCACATTCTTAATTATATAATTGGCATCCATTCATTGAAGATCTTTTGAATCTTTTTTTCAGCACGTTTGGAACAACCGATGGGGTTTCCCATTGCCATGTTTGTTCACTGGAGGGTACCATCCGGGATTCAAACATGGCAACGGAAAGTCCACTTGTCCGTTCGACAAGTCTATAATCATCTATCTTCTGTATGTGTACTAGATGAATTTTCATGAATGCACATGTTCCATTGCCAAGTTTGATTAGCCGCCTGGATCTGTCTCAAAATAGGGTATCACTGTGTATCACTTCAAATCTGATCATTTATCATCACTTTTTCCCACTACATAACAAATATATATAATATATATATATATATATAACTGTATATATATATATATACAGTTTTATATATATACATGTATATATATATATACAAGTATGTGTTTAGAAAATACTTAATTTTTAATAGTCATAAACTTAGCTATATTCACTTCATTTTCAGATAGGTTGATCATCACTTTCCACCATGAAATGCAGCTCCGCCGCTGCCAGAATTCTTCGCCATCTCAATTACCGCCTGGGGACCTCAATCGATATCCGATAGGGAAGGTTCTGGCCTGCTCAGCTACAGTAAGAATTATTTTTATATACCTTTATATAACTATAATTACTAATAAATTTACAAAAATGCATATATAAATGTATATAAATTCATATGTAAATGCAATATATATATATATATATATATATACATATGCATATATAAATTCAGATACATGCAGATATAATTATGCACATGATTATCCATGTATGTAATAGCACGCATAAGTATATGCAGGAAAAACAAGATTGTCTATCGTTGGCCATTTTACTTCTCCAATGTTGAGCCATCGTCTGTGGACTGATCGCCTGAATTTTGCCATCCTCGCGTCGGTACTCCATGAAGGCCAGTGAAGAAGGAAAAGCGTCGACCTGCACCTCTAGCTCTCCATGAGCGTGCAGCCAGTCGTGGGGGACCACAGCAGCTTCGCTGCGGACGAGGTCATGTGGCGGCAGCCAGCATGTTTCAACGGCAAACATGGAGAAGCATCTAAAATGGCAGGCACAGAAAACATCAGAAAACCATATCCTGAGCCCCAGTTTTGAAGGTTTCAATTCAAAAAGGAGGAGATATTTCAGTGATGAAACTGATGAAACCAGATACTTTTTTTGTGGTCCGGGCATTCAAAAAAAGAACGCCCCCATCAATGGGGAAGAA